CATCTCACCAGCCCAAGGGCATATATTTTTTGTCTGTCTGTCTGTCTACAGTTCTCTCCTCCCCTACCCCAAGCTCTAGATACTCCTTGAGTAGTGAAGTTTGGAAATCTGAGCTCTTAAGAACCAGTGAGACTGGGCGTGGTGGCACATGCCTGTAATCCCAGCACTTGGGAGGCTATAAACAGGAGAATCACCACGAGTCCGATCTAGTAGTGAGACCCTGAAAAAGAAAAAAGAAGAACCAGGGATAATTAATTAATTTGAATCCTAGAGTATTTGCGGCAAGGAATATAACTTTCTGTAAGCTTATAAAGGACAGAGGTAAGTTGGAAAACTTGTATTTTTGAGGTTGTTGTGCTCAGAGATTTACTCCAGTCTTGAACTCACTGTGTAGCCCAAGCTGGCCTTATATTTGAGATCCTCCTACATCAGCCCCCTAGTACCTAGGTTACAGATGTGGGGACCATCCAGCTTCATGGATTTGATTTATTTTTATTTGTATTTATTTATGTTTTTGAGCAAGGGATTCACTATGTAGTTCAGATTAGCCTTGGACTGTATGTACCCAGGCTGGCCTTGAACTCAAAGTGATCATCCTGTTTCAGCCTCCTGAGGGTTAGAATTACAGGTATACACCACCATGCCTGGCTTGGATTTTATTGTAAGCCAAATTAGATATCTTAGCTTTCAAAGATAGACATTTGTAGCTGGTTGCGGTAGCCCACATTTGCAATCCCAGCACTCAGGCAACTGAGGCAGGAGAATCACTGCAAGTTTGAGGCCAGCCTAGGCTACATAAGGAGACCCTGTCTCAAAAAAATGCTAGGCCTGGTGGCACACGCCTGTAATCCCAGCACTTGGGAGACTGAGGCAGGAGGATCATTGTAAATTTGAAGCCAGCTTGAACTACATAGTAAGAGCCTGTCTCAAGAAGAAAACTAAAACAATCCCGAAGACTTGACTTTGTAGGTTTCAGATTAACTCAGGGAACTGTACAGTAAAAACTATTTAGTTTTTATGTGTCTAGATTTATATGTCTTTGGGAACAGTAGATTATTTTTTTAAATGAAGAATGCAATTTATTAAGAACTTAATAGACAGAAGGGATAGAAGCCTGTGGCTATGATCTTTTTATTTGATGAGATTGTTAAAAATTATTTGCTTTGTCCTTAATTTTAGATTACTGATTTTGGGCAGTCCAAGATTTTAGGGGAGACCTCTCTCATGAGGACATTATGTGGTACCCCCACTTACTTGGCTCCCGAGATTCTTCTTTCTGTTGGGACTACGGGGTATAACCGAGCTGTGGACTGCTGGAGTTTAGGAGTTATTCTTTTTATCTGGTAAGAAAAGTTTTCATCACTTCACTATCTGGTGAAGTTTTCACTAGCTGATTAGATGAAATCACAAATATGTTCAGATAGGGAGCTTGTGTTTAATTTAGGCTCTTTAATCATTGATTGAACGAAATGCTTGAGTTTTCTTTATGCTGAAAAAGCAATCTGTGCATTCGAAAGCTGCTGAGAATACCTCTTGATGTCTTTTCCTTTTTCTCTCTACCGATGTTAAGCCTGAGTGGGTATCCACCTTTCTCTGAGCATAAGACTCACATGTCCCTGAAGGATCAGATCACCAGTGGAAAGTACACCTTCATTCCTGAAGTCTGGGCAGATGTCTCAGAGAAGGGTATGGATATGAAAGGGTTAAGAACTTGGGGGTTATTACAATGCCAGTGTGCTGTTGGTGGGAGTTTTCTTTTCCAACTCCATGGTGTTTTCTCCTGTGGACTCCCTTCTTAGTTTCTGTTGTCAGTTCTGTGTTGTTTGAGCAGAGGAAGTTATGAGCTTGGGTTCCAGAATTTAAACTTAAGTCCTGGGTTTGGTATTTTCTAGCTATGTAACCGAAGGTAAATTATTTTTTTCTTGTATTTAGGACTGGGTCTGCAGGGTCTCACTGCACAGATTGGACTCGTAGTGAGTCTCCTGCTTTCAGCCTCTCAAGTGCTGGAATTACAGGCGCTTGCCACCATGCCCAGTCTCAATCACTGTCTCAGCACGCCCTGGGGGCAGGGCTGGCACAGCATGCTGGGAATCAAACCCTGGCCGCTGTGCTCTGTCTAAGCAGGTGCTTTAGTCCGCTGAGCTATCTGGCTGGCCCCTTTTTATTCAGTTTCTTTCGGGTTTTTTTTTTTTTTGGAAGACAAATTACTGAACCTTTTAGAGTTTTCATTTTCTTTATTTGTAAAGGGGCCTTCAATGACTCCTCCCTGAAAGGATTTTTATGAGAATTAAGTATAATGTACACAAGTGCTTGGGATCTACCTATTCAAGGGTGCAAAATAATAACTTACTATAAGCTTTTCTTTGAGAAAGTAGCATGTGAAAGGGCAAGAGTGTGAGTTATTTTTATTTTATAATTTAAAAGTGAAACCTTCTAACTCCCTGAAGGAAAAGTAGATTACAATAAAATGTCCAGTAATGTATTGTAGGTGATTGTGTGAAATATCTTTTTTAATTTAGTCTTTTGAAACAGAGTCTCATTGGGAAGTTCAGGCTGCCTTTAATTTGCTACGTAGCCCTGGAAGACCTCTTAACTTTCAGTGATTCACCTGTCTCAGTGTCCCTCCAGTGCTGGAATTACAAGTGTGTGCCACCACACCTGACTAAATGTCACACGGTTTAAGGAACAGTATTTTGCTGTGTACAGCCTAGCCTGAAGTTGTTGCTTGCTGCAGTTGTCAGGGTTGTTTTCTGACAAGTCTCCAAGGCTGGGAGTCACTCTCCAACTGAGGGACTTGCCATCTATCGGTGGGTCTCAGGAAAGTTGGCTGTGCATTCTGATTATCTGAGAACTGCGTGGAAGTTCAGTTTTAGTCTGAATGTACGTCCAGCGACAAAAGAGGAAACAGGGAGCTGAGGGTTTATGATGACCCAGCAGAGAGAGATGGGGGCATCGTCTTTCCTGGTGCTGAGTCCTCTGAATATAGAACGAGGAGGACTGGGAGGCGCTGTCCACTCTGTCTGCGGACTCCATGACGATCTTGTCTTTCGGGACGGTGGCTGTTATTCTGGCATACTTCTGTGTTGCTGCTTTTATATGCTTATCCTTTTCACTACAGTTTGTCCAATTCTTTTTCTGCTTCAGCTCTAGATCTTGTCAGGAACTTGTTGGTTGTGGATCCCAAGGCACGGTTTACGACAGAAGAAGCCTTAGGTCATCCATGGCTTCAGGTGGGTATGGGGCAGTGGGACAGTGCCCCTTGTATAAAATGAATGGGATGGGCCTGGGGAGATAGCTTGGTGGTCTAAGCACCTTGCCTGGCAAGTGCAAGGACCCAGGTTCGATCCCCAGTACCACATGCTGTGCTGGCCCCATGCCGAGCTGGCTACTGAGACCGGGTTTGGTGGAGCACACCTGTAATTCCAGTGCTGGGCAGGCTGAGACAGGAGGATCACTACGAGTCTGAGCTGCATGGTGAGACCCTGTACCAAAAAATAGATAAATAAAATAAAATGGAACCCCTCAATCAAACTGCTTAAGCCTGGTGAAAAAGAGCATAGAAACCCAAACTTTTTTGTTGCTGGAATTGTTCATGTAATTGTTTTCAATCAAGTGTAGAGTATGAGGGTGTGGTGGGTGTTTGGGGCGTGCATCCCTTGTCATGTTATCTGTGTCTTTGGCCTGGACATAATCACTTTGTGGCTTGCTCTGGTTCCACTCAGCTGTCCGGAGCGTACAGTTTGAGTGTCTCCTTTGAGAGATTGTTCTGACTCCATCCGCAGCTGTGTACCTTCCCCTCCTTCCCTCCAACAGGTGGGGTGGGCTAGGCTGCATTCCAGCCATCCTATGCCTTCAGTCAGGACAGCTGGGGGAGCTGGAGCAGGGCAGCTTCTCAAGAGAGAATCTAGCTGTTTTGGAAGCTCATTTGACTGCGTAGAAAGGGTCTCCCTTCATGCTCCTGGTGAGTAAGCATGCCATTAGTGTAGGCTGTCACCTGTGCCTTTTGGTCTGCATTACCTCTGTGTTCATGCTGTGGTGTGGCTGCCTTTTGATCATAAGCTGACTTCATTCCGAGCTGCCAGAGTTGCATGATTTGGTGGCTGCATTTGATTAATCTTTGACTTTGGAATTAGCTATAGCATCAGGGAAATTTTCTGATGGATGTCTGATATTTTGTTCAGTAAATTTCTACTCAGCACAACCATGCCTCTTTCTGTTAACTTTCTTTTGGACTTTTTGTATTCTATGATACTGGGGTCTTAATCAGACAGCTTGTGTTAGAAGCTGTTACTCAGGAGATTACTGGTCCAGGAATGCCTTGGGCAGTCCAGCCTGGGCCTCTGTGAAGTCTGTCCCTCTTTTCTCTTGCAATCCTGCATACCTAACAGTTTTGCTCAGGCCAGCTCAGGTTGAGAACAACAAATCCTTAAAAGAAGGAAAGAATAAAAGGGGGATGGAAGAGAGCAGATGTGTGTTTTGGATGTTGCCCTGGAAACAGCAGTCCCCCCAGAAGAAATCTGTCAGATGATTTAGTATTTAATAGACCACACAGATTTGAAACAGCAGGACCTTGGAGAAAAAGAGTTTGGAAACAAAAGGTGCCTTTGCGTGTGGGGATTTGATTTTCGTGGAAAAAGAGAAACACTCCTCTTGGCTCTTCATGTCTCCTAATAGGGAAACTCTTGGGGGTCCATTGTAGAGATAGAGGAGCTGGGTTAGGTTTGGAAAAGTGGAGCTGGCCAGTGAGGTTTGGGAATAGTGTTTGTGTGTGCCTGAAATTTACGAGCCAGCAGAGTCCTTATTCATGACCAATCAAAGATGAATATAGGGGTCTCCTGTGATTGCTCTTTTGTCCCATTTTTTTTTTTGTAACCAAAGACAGAGTGAAGGATAAGGATGTAGATTAGCTTTCTACTACGTGTGCTGCCAAAGCAAGCACATATTAGCTATCTAAAAATAGTTATTAATAATGATTAGGTTTTACTTACTTTTGAAAGTTAGTATTATGAAGTTCCCAGATGATTTTGTGAGTCTGGCACTGGGCTGAGCATTGGGAATGTGAATTTTTGTCTCTATTATGTCCAGTTTGGGAAGAATTTCTTATATCCTCTTTTTGCTTTATGTTCATTAAAATAGAGATTCTTTCTTCCTTGGTCTTTGAGGGACGTTACAATTTAATTTTAATTTTATTTAATACTTTATTTAATTTTTAACATTATTTTCTGTTTTTTTGAGACACGATCTTGCTATGTAGCTCAGGCTGGCCTATATGTATATATAGTTCAAGCTGCCCTTGAATTTCCTCCTGACTGCTGGGATTACAGGTGTTTGCCACTATACAGCCTTTATTTATTTATTTAGGTACCGGAGATTGAAGTTAGGACCTTGTGCTTGCCAGGCAGGCGCTTATAATTTAATATCTTTGAGTAGAGTGTAGCTATCTCAAAGGAAAGATTTTATAGGTATGTTGTTACCTGTATTAACAATAAGCTTATTTTTCATCTTGTTGCTAATTGATAACTTATAGACATAGACTTACATAGATTCTGGGTTGCTCTGGCAGCACTAAAGACCTGCTGGCAGAAAGGGCCAAAGGTTGTGTGGTGGATGGAGGCTGTGGCATGAGTAGGTAAGCGGGGGAAAGGGAAGTGACTTAGGAGAGTGACACTGTGTGAGAAGTGAGGTCATATGGCCTTAAGAGAGCAGAGTGGGGAATCCAGCTGTGTCTTATCTTGCCAAAACTGGTAATGGGGAGCTATGCCAAGTGATTTAATAAGACAGTCTGATGGAAGCAGTGGTGGTTCTGGCTGCTAGGTAGAGGAGAGCTGAACTCAGTGTTGGTCTTCCAGTTCTGTCATTTTGCAGTTGGTCTTCCATTACTATCTTTTTGCAGTGTCCATGACCATGTTGAATGTTGGAGTCCCCTGTTCCTGTGTGTTTTCCGTAAGCACCATGGTGCATTTGACGTAGGGGGTGGGTTAGGTTGGAAGGTACTTAAGTCTTTGGAATCCTACTGCTCTGGGTCTGTTTAATATATGCTATTTGTGAGAGACTGAGCTGGGCTCTGGCTACCCCAAAGCCCACTTTCCTAGTGATAGGTATTTTACATTTCCAAAGATGGGGAGAACAGTACCAAATGCAAATCCTAAAACATGCAGTATTGAGTATCCAGGCAGGTGGGAGCTATGTTCAAATATATCTGGGCAAGCATTCTCTTTGCCTACCTCCAGCTGTCAGCGTGAAACACCCATAATGCTCTGACCTGTTCATTGTTGTCCTTGTTAGGCTTAAGCTTGGGATATGGTGGGCTTCAGCTCCTTTGGGCAAGTTGTGCAACACATGCTGGGTAATTTTCTTAGAGTATTGAGGCAGTTAGGATGGCCTGGGTCATTCAGTAGTGGCAGTGGGAAGGAGGGATCTAGACGGATTCAGGAAGCTGCCTGGTGTCAGCCTCATACTCTGGCCTCCTGACTCATCTCAGGACCTGGGTTGCTGGTATTAAAATCTTAGCTCCTAGGGTTTGTGGTTCTCTGACCCACTGAGAGCTTTCGGGCACCTGGTCTTGATTCAGCCAGTGTTGACTGGGCCAAGACTGCTCATGCGACCACTGCGAGAAGACACAGGTGAGTGATAGATAGAACTGTCATTGTAGGGTCTTCCTCTCACTTGTGTACAGCCTACTTAGGTTTTTAATTTCTTCACAGGATGAGGACATGAAGAGAAAGTTTGAGAATCTGCTAGTTGAGGAAAATAAGCTGTTGGCTGTACCCCAGGTCACACCCCAGGTATTTCCCCTAATGATTACTCACTATAGATTAGAAACCTAGAAAGTCACACGCACCTGTAATTCCAGTACCCTAGAGGCTGATGTAAGGGCACCAAAAGTTTCATCCCAGCCCGGACAACTTAGCAATTTTTGGTAAAACTTTCAAAATTAAAAATTAAAAAAAGACTGGGTGGTAGCTTGATGCCTAGACCTTGGATTCACTCCCGAATGTGTGCCTCTGTGTGTGATTTGTAACATACACTTTTTTTTTTTGTGCAGGGTCTCACTATGCAGCTCAAAGTTGTAGTGATCCTCCTGTTTTCAGCCTCCCCGGCACTGGGATTATAGATGTGCCACCACACTGGTTGTTGGCTCAGCGTGCTCAGGAGCAGGGCCAGCACAGCATGTGGTGCCAGGGATCGAACCCCAGCCCCTGCACTTGCCTAAGCAGGCGCTTAGTCTGCTGAGCTGTCTCTCCAGCCCAATGTAGTTATGCTTTGTTTCTCCTTATCTGTTCCAGAATCTTCATAAGACTTAATAAGTCAGGGGATGTTAAATGCATTAGAGAAACACAGCTAAAGAGTATCCAAAAGTTTTATGCAACACAAGATCCAGCATTCTGTTAGAGGTTCAGGGCATTGTAGCATATGCCTGTAATACCAGTGCTGGGAATGCTGGAAGCAAGATGATTACCATGAGTGAGGCTGAGGCAGTAGAATCGCTGCAAGTTTGAGGCCAGCCTGGACTACGTAGTGAGTTTAAAGCCAGCCTGCTCTATAAAGCAAGACCTTGTCTCAGAAAAAAAGGAAAATTTAAGATTTGGGCAAGGAGTTGATTTCTTGGTTTGTTTGCTTTTTTCTCAGTTCTTTGTAAGTATAAATTAATGTCTGCTCATTCCCATCTTGCTCTGTTTCTTTTGCTTGTCTTGTTACAGTGCTGGGGATGGAACCATGGGCCTTTGCTATTAGGCAAGTGCTGTGCTACTCAGCTACATCTTTGGCCCTGGTCTTGTTTTTATTTGGTTTATGATCTTGTTCTCTCTCTCTCTCTCTCTCTCTCTCTCTCTCTCTCTCACTCACTTACTCACTCACTCTCCCCCCGCCCCACTGTTCTCTCCTAATTTTATATGTGGGTGGCACAAAAGATTATCTTTCAATAAAAGAGCGAGATTTTGGAGAATGGCTTCAAATAGAGGGGTTTGGTTTTGTTCTGCTTTTTTGGGACAGGGTCTTGCTGTATAGTACAGGCTAGCCTTGAACTTACTTTATAGTCCAGGCTGGCCTCCATCTTGCATTGATCCTCCTGTCTCCACCTCCTCAGTGCTGGGATTACAGGCATTTTTCACCATACCCAGCCCTGGTAAACCCATTTTAAGCTACAAATATTTTAAGTCAGAAATGCATTTAATACTCTTAACCTATTGAACATCAATTTTCTAATGTCTGTGTAATACTTTTGCATTACTAATTATGCAAAAACCCAAATTGGGCATGGTGGCACATGCCTGTAATCCCAGCGCTCCAGGCTGAAGCAGGAGGATTTAGTCAGCTTCAAAGCCAGCCTGATTTACAGAGTGAGACCCTGACTCAAGAACAAAAAGCCTCAAAAGTCAGACTGTCTCTGCATCGTTAAGTGCTTAGAAACCACAAGGCAGAGAAATGACAAGTAGATAAACTTCTCTAAGTTCAGAGGGGTGTGATATCCCCAATTTATTGGAAGCATTTTAGAGACTTTCGATAGAAGCTGATTTCCTTTTTAACATTTCTCCCTTTTTCTCTCTTTATCTCCAGCCTTCTACTAGTAGAAAGCGGCCTCCTCAAGCAGAAGCTGAGGACATCAAGACCCCAAAACGTCCAGCTGTGTGTGCTGCTGTGTCATGAACACTGTGATTTGAACAAGAAAGAAACATCTCTTCTTTTACTCTTTTGTCATCTTGTTTCTTTGTCTTTTTTTTTTAATAGCTTCTATTTTAATTATGGTAATGATTGTTTTTCTTAAATCATTGGTATATAATTAAAAACCTGATGGAACTTGGGCTTTGTGCTTCTGCTGTATGCTTAGTTCTGAATGCCTTTTATTTCAGTGTTAAAAATTATTGTGTGAAAAGAAAAAAAAGTTATTGTGTGACCATCAGGTGGAATTGTACCTTGACAGTTGTCACCAGGTTGGTGTGCTAGGCTTCCACCCTCTTTTAGCCTGTGAGAGCTGAATAGAAATCTAAGGCCTCCTTAGAAGGTCACTGGGAAGGGCCATAGTGGGTGGGGTTGGGGATAGAGTTTGTTGTGGCACCTGCTACTGCACCCAACAAATGGCAGGTACCTTGATGTGTATGTCACAGGCCAGTGTTAAATTCCCATATTCGCCCTGTTAGAGATATATCTCCACTGCCTTTGAAATCTTAGGACTAGGTAAGTTGTTAAGTTCCAAGTTTTTTCCCACTTTAGGAAGGTGATAGGGCACTTCTACTGTGTATTATCTGTAAAGACTCATTATATTCCTATAACCTTATACATTGATATTTCAACAGCAGATTTTCACAGAAAGTGGGTAGAGAGAAACATGAGACTGTCAACTCTTGTCTTTTCTGCCAAATGAGACATAGGTGATTTGTTTTTCAAAACTATTAGGATTTTAGATATGGAGATCAGGCATGTGGGTATGTCTTGTTGACCCAGTATTGACTGGAGGGGGCGGTCTCTGCAAAACTCTTCTTTTGGCTGTTCTTGTCCTCACAGTGATGCTATAAGCTAGGTCTTCCGACCACCTTCATCTTATGGGATGAGGATAACTTTTTCCAGCATTGCACAGTTGGTAAGTGGCACTGGCGGGACTCAACCCAGGTCTTCCCAACTCTAAAACTAATATTGCCTTCTCACTTTTATATTCAGACTCAGGGATGTTGACTCACATTGATAAAACCCATGAGACTGATGTTAAATCCTAAATGCCAATCCGTTTAGTTATGAAGAACACAAACTGCCCAAGAGAGTATTGTCTTGCCTGCCCATGAGTTTGATTAGTTCTTGCAGGCTGGTGGCAGGGATAGCCTACTAATATGGGGAAGTTGGAGCCCATTTGTTGGAAAGATATTTCAGAGATAACAGATGGCTGGGCCTGGGAGGTCTCAGGTATGCAGGCAGTTCTAATGGCTGGCTCCTGTTTGTCTCTTTCCAATCCACTGATCATATCCTTCCTCCCTCCCGCACTTTTCAGTACTAGGGGTGGAATGCTTTTCTACTGAGCCACATCCTTTATTCCTTTTTAAAATTTTGAGACGGGTTCTCAGTAAGTTGCTAGAGTGCTGGTATCTAACATGTGATTCAGAGCCTCCCAGAATGCTGGAATTACAGGTATGCGCCACCACACCTGCCTGTGGTTTGCCTCTTTGGTAACTGCCTGGTTGGTGCTAGACCACACTAACTAACTGGCTATTGCATGGATTGAGCACCACAGTTTGGATGCCACTCACCCTCCAGGACAGAGTCAAGAGCTCACAGCTATTGCCCCTGGCACTAGGGGTAGTGTGATTGGTAACTGGAAGGATATGTAAGCTTTCTGAGGGCGAGGAAACAGGGACTTAGGTGGTTTGATTGGAATAATGAGAGGCTGTGTTTTGTTTTCCAGGGTATTTTCCCTTTTAGAATAGAGTTCATCAGCTTTTCTGTATCCAGAGCACTGTACCTCGTCTTAGCTCCTTCTGATACCTGCCATGGTATGCAGAATAATGACCCTCACCAAGTGCCCTAACCTTAATCCCTAGTACCTGGGAATGTCTTACTTTACATAGCAGAAAGGACCGTGTAGGTGTCATTAAGGGTCTCGAGACACAACATTATTCCCATCTTTCCCTGGGCCCACATCATTGCAAAGATCTTTTGAGGAATGCAAGAGCAGTGAAACTGAGCCCAGATAGTGCTGTGATGACTGAGCAGAAATCAGAGTAAAGGCTCTGAAAGGAAGGGCCAGGGAGATAGCTCAGTGGAGTAAGTGCTTGCCTGGTAAGCATAAGGTCCTGAGTTGGATCTTTGGTACCGCAAAAAATAAATAAAAATAAAAAGGCAAGGAAATGGGTTTTCCCATGAGAAACCCTGAAGGAATCAGCCAACCTTATATAGTTTTCTGACCTATAGAACTGTAAGAAAATTTTGGGGGGTTTTATGTTTTTGTTTTGCTTTTGTTTTGTATTTCCAGGGAAAGGCCTACAGGGTGTTCATGGTCTCAATACTAGATCGGACTCACGGTGATTGTCCTATTTACAGGCTCCAAAGTGCTGGGATTACAGGCGCACACCACCATGCTCAGTCTCAATCGCTGTCTTGGTGCATGCTGAAGGTGGGACTTTTGAGATAGGATCTAACTACATTATGTAGTTCAGGCTGGCCTTGAACTCAGCATAATCCTCCTGCCTCAGCCTCCTAAGTGCTGGGATTACAGGTGTGTGCCACTATGCCTGGCAGTCTTGATTTCTTGGGGAGGAACCTTTTTACATTTTTCAACCCTTGAAGGTGTGTGTATGTGTGGGGAGAGGCAGTAGTAAAACTGAGCACCTCCCCAATACAGAAGCTGAAGAAAGGATTCCCTAGAAGTTTCTACTGCTATGGAATTCCTTCCACTGGCCACCTACTTGGAGGACTTGGAAACATGAGCACATGGTAGGGGGCTGCAACATCAGTGATGAGAACAATTGGTTCCAACCTGAGCTCTGATTTCTCATATTGGCTTTGGGTAAGTTACTTAAAATTGCTGAGCTTTTATTTCCTTATCTGTAAAACGGATTCAATAAGTACACCAACCGTCTATTGATGTGAAGAGTCAATAGGAGATCCACAAAGTGCCTGACATGTGACAAGGTGTTCTTCAGTTTTAGCCTTTATTGTAAGGTGGGAGAGCCACATGCCTAAGCAGAGGGAGGCAGAAAGTGCTTCAGCAGGGAAGCAACATATTTCCAGTTCTTTTTTGAGTACTTGTATTGTCACCGGGATGGCTGAGTAAGCAGATTTGGGAAATGCCATGCCTGAGATGTGTGGTGGGAGCAGAGGTGGAGGTCAGTTTCCAAGGAGTGAAGTAACTGCGGCTCTTGCAGAACAGGCATCCCTGGTGGATTCCCGGCATATCTATATTATGCTAGCCCTTCTTTGTGCCAGCCTCTGCCCAGTGCTTCATGTGGTAACTATATTCCTATTTTTCACTGGAAGGTATCCTTCCCATGTGCTGGAGGAATGACCCCAACTTCGTTATATACACTAGTCAGGTCTAGCTAATTTGATTGTGGTGACTGGCTCAGATGTGCATGTGGCCCACACAGGACCAATAAAAGTCAACTCTGGGACTCTGGTTGCATCTATAGCATGCATAGCTCTAATCTGAATATTCAAAATGATCAAAAAATGCGAAACTTTGACCACTGACATGTGGTCATGAGGAAAATATCACAAAACTGTATGAAAAGATTATTAAAAATGTATATAAAATTACTTTCAGGCTGTGCGTATAAGGCATATATGAAGCAAATGAATTTTTCATGTTTAAATTTGGGTTGCCACCCCTCCATATCTCTGTATGTTTGAAAATATTCCAAAATCAAGATCTGAGATTCAGCCAGGGGTGGTGGCATATGCCTGCAATCCCAGTGCTACTCTAGAGGGTGAGACAGGAAGATCAACGGAGTTCAAGGTGGTCTTGAACTGCATAATAAGACGTTGCCAAAAAAAGGTCTGAGACATAGGGATACTCAACCTGTATTGGAAAACACCTCTGCCTTCTTGGGTACATATAGCTAAGAGCTATGTAGCCACTGTGTGGAAAGAACTACATGAAGATGGGCAGCAAGAACCAAGACAGATTAGAGGTTGAGTTTGGGTTGAACTGGATCCAGCTATGCCTGAAGCAAGGGACCACTTCCGACTTTTCAGTTATGTGTGTTCCTTTTTTTTTTTTTACTCTAGATTGGGTTTCTTGTCAGTTGATCTGAAAAAGGCCAGACTAATAAATTTACAAGTTTCCAAGAGATTCCTGAAGACTTGTTTTCTCTAGTAGGAAAAATGTTCTATTGTTTCTCTGTCAACTTTAGGGTTTTTGAGAATGGGTGATGTGGGAAGAGTTACCAAATGCCAAGGTTGGGTGAACCCCTCCCAGCTAATTATACCACAGTATTTGGGAGCAGAGCCCTTTTCATCAAACTTTTAGGACTCTGATAGGGAAGGGACTACACCAGTGAATCTCAGAGCTTGTGTGCTGGGCATTGTGCCAAGGGAAGTGCATGTATCTAGCAGTGCTTTAACTCCCTGAAAGTTCACTGCAGTCCTGTGAAGTACTGTCACACTTTCTTGTTTGCAAACGTGAAAATTAAGGCTTTGTGGCTCTGTCCAGTGACCTGTTCACGGTTTCTCAGTTTTTATGAGAGAGGCAGGATTTGAACTTTTTTTTTTTATCTCCTAGAGGGCCCCTGCTTCTTAACTACTAATACTACTTCAGAGGTTCTGTCAACTGATGACCACCTGATAAGTACCAGGCGTGGTATTGGATTATTTTACCGAGTCTTCAGGTTAAGGAGAAGCAGGCCGCGAAAACCTGACCCTAGTCACGCAGGAGGAAGCCGAGATGCGGGTTCTCAGTTGAGTCTGCCTCTGCCTAAGATGCGGACGTTCACCGCACCACTTACACACGCGAACGTGTCTGCACAGCTCTCGCACGGGACCTCACCAACTAAGGGGCGTCCACCCCCAGCACTTCTTGGGCTGACCCCGCGCCCTGGGCCCAGCGTTGAGTGTGAAGGAAGAGTCCTACTCATGCAACCCAGAGGCCGTGCCGGGGTGGTCCGCAGTGCGGCTGGCGGCGGCGCAGAGCAGGGAACTGCGTGCTTCCCAGCACGGGCCGGACTGGCGCGGCGGGGGTAAACGCCACGCCGGAACAGCGACCGGCTGCAGAGGGCTCCGGGCTGGGCGCGCGCGAGGGGGCGCGGCGAGCGTGCGCGTGCGCGATGCGCGTAGAAGCCGCGGGGGCGCGCGTGCGCGGCTTGGGGGGCGGTGTGGGTTGCTTTGGCTGCGCGCGGCACGGCGGGAACATGGCGCGCGGGAGCGGTGCGCGCGCCTAGCTGGCGGGACCGTTAGCTCCGGGCAGACTCGGCCCGGGCCCCGTGGGGATGGAGCAGTCGCTGCCGCTAGCGCCCGAGCCGATCTCGGGGTCGACCCCGGCGCGGAGCCGCAGGCGGCGGGAGCCCGAGTCTCCGCCGGCGTCGGCTCCGGTGAGTGCGTGAGGGGCGCGGGCCGGGAGACTTTCTTTGTGAAACTCCGTCGGTGCGAGCCGGGCCGGGCCTCAGCAGCGGACGAGTGGCTGCCAGGCGGAAGCCGCCTAGCCGTCAGGGTTCGAGCCCGGCCGCGGGCCATGAGGCGATGGGACCCGACCCCGGCTATGGCCAGCCTGCCTCAGTTTCCGCGGGAGAATGTGTGTGCGCGCGCGGGGGTGGGGGTGCTGTATACAGGCGGCGCCTGATGCCCGGCGCCTGCCCTCCTCGACCCCGCCCCCTTGGAGTGGAACCGGGGCATGGGGCTCGTGGAAGCTACAGATTGGAGTTGCGGGGAGACAGGTGTCGGCGTGGCTGGGGAGGCTCAGGTGCTGACATCCCCAGTAGGGTTGGTAGGGAGCGAGCTCACCGTCCCGGGGAGGCAACAAGCCAGTTGTGGCTCGTCACAGGGTGATGCTGGAAAGCTTTCCGTCCGCTTCAGCTTCGTGGGGTGTTTGGTGTGTGTCACGGTGAAGGATGCTAAGCCAAAGAGGCTCCTGCCAAATGGGTTGGGACGGCCCTGAGCAAGGGGCTCTTTCCAAGCCTGGAGATTTTTAGGGCATGGAAATAATCTGGAGCACTTTATGAAAGTGTGGGCAGCACCCCTTACCCCAGCCCTGTGAATTCTGGTTCTTCAAAGGAAGAGAACAGATTTTGAATCTTTAACAAACTTGGAAGTTTGATTAGTGAATTTGGCAAGCTTTATAAAGAAGTTTCTTGAGAGCAGAGATACGCTCATGGTATCTTGTGTGGTGCCCAGAGCCGTGTTACAGGATTACTAAATGTTTGCAGGGAGACCAATAACTAGAGTTAGCAGCATAGGAACTCTTAAAAAACATTTTCACGAGCTTCATAAGAGAGCATTCTCTCCATCTGCTTCACTGTATATGTGATTTTTCTCAGCTCCTACTTTAACTTCTGTGACTTTGTAATACCAAGTTTGTAGTATGTTTCAGGGTGTATGTTGGTTAATGTAAAGGATCAATTTTGTATTTCTTAGGTTATAATTAACTTTGAAACAAAATCTGAGTTGAAAATGATTTTTTTTTTCTCTTTGGGAACAGAAGAGTTATAGGATTTTGTTTTTTTTCAGATAGGCAGGCAAACATTTACATTTTAAAAAATGTATACAGGCGGTATACATTTCACGGTTTCCTTTTTTTACATTTTCCTTCTTTCTTTTTGTATTTAGTAGAGGGTCTATAGGGTCTACGGGGTCTCACAACATAAATTGGACTGGTAGTGAGTCTCCTGTTTTCAGCCGCCCAAGCACTGGGATTACAGGTGTGCGCCACCACGCCCGGTCTCAATCGCCATCTCTGCCCACCCTGGGGATGGGGCAGGGGAGGCCATCCCAGCCACTGTACTCTGTCTAAGCAGAGGCTTTAATCCACTGAGCTATTTGGCTGGCCTACATTTGCATTTTCATCGAAGCAAATTTTAATGACTTCATTAAAAAATAATATATATCTATCTATCTTTTGGCTTTTTGAGGTAATCTCACTAGGTAGTTCAGGATGGCCTTGAACACGCAGCCATCTTCCTGCCTCAGCACCCCCACTTCTCCACCCTGCTTACCCCTGCCACTCTGTGCTGGGTTTACAGACATGTACCACTACATCTGGCCTATTATTCACAAAAGTTGACAAATTTGCTTTAACTCTGAGGATTTATAGTTTTTCTGTTATATTTTGAAACTGAGATTTATGCTTAGTCCAGAGTCAGTGCTAGAAGTGTTTGATATTTCAGAGGCTTTTTTTTTCTTAAGTTGCATTTAATTGCTTTCACTTAAGTGGGTTGATTGTGGTGGTGGTGATTGTCCACGGGACAAAGTATACAAATATAGGAAGAATTAGTCGAGATTGCATCTGAAGAAAAAGTGAAGTTAGGTGCTGTAGTGTCTCAGTGTGCTGTTGTTACTTTTTATGTGAATGTCTTTTTTTTTTTTTTTTTTTCTTTTGTATTGAGGATTGAACCTAGGGTCTTTGCACTGAGTCATATCCCCAGCCCTGTTTTATTTCTACTTTGAGATAGAGTTTCACTAAGTCACTAAATAGCTGTGACTGGACTCACCTTTTTAAAGTACTGGGATTGTAGACGTCTGTCACCATGGCCAGCTGGATTTCACTTTAAAAAAGTGCTTCACAGTGTAAGGTGGTATATACTTTAATCCCATTCCTGGGGAGGCTGGGGCAGAAGGACTTCATGTTCAAGGACAACGTGGATTACCTAGTGAGACCCTGCTTCAAAAACAGAAAAAAATCTATAAAAATTTTTATTGTGATACAATTTACTAACCATAAAAGTAACCCCATTAGTATAATCTTTGTGGTTTATAGTATATCCATAGATTTATGTAAACATTACCACTCTCTGCTTTTTTAAAATTTGAAACAGGGTCAGACGGGCCTTGAACTCACTGTGTAGCCCAGGCTGCCTTTAAACATGAAATCCTTATGCCTCAGCCTTCCAAGTGCTGGGATTACAGGTGTGGAGCACTCCATCTGGCTTATCACACTACTTTTAAAGCATTTTTGTCACCCCACAAAAAATCTGTCACTCATTAGCAATCATTATATACTTTTCTCCCAGCCCCTGACCATAATCTGCTTTCTAAATTTTTATGAATTTAGCCACACATTTTATGTTGTGGAATCTTTCAATATGTAATCTTTTATGAATGACTTTTTTCACTTAGCACAGTATGTTCAAAGTTCAGCCATGATATAGTTTGTATCACTATTTCATTCCTTCTTATTGTGGTCCTGCCCCTTAGCTCAGTTCTTTAAGTGGCTGCTTCAACAAAACAGTCAGGCTCTGGTTGCTGTGGTTTGATCCCCACAACTCGAGCCAGCCAAACCTGCCCTGAAGGCATTCGGAGCAAAAAAACTCCCCAAAAAACAAAAAAACCAACTTTTTATTGCTGAATTATATTCTTTTTAATAAATATGCCACATCTTGGCCATCTATTCACCTGTTGTTAAACAAGTGTTTGTTTGTTTTTTCATTTTTTGGCTCCTATGAATAATGCTCCTGTGAACATTTGTGTATAGATTTTTATGTGAAAATGTTTTCATTTTTCACAGGTATATTTAGGAGCAGAATGCTGGGTCACGTGTCAATTCTGTTTAGCTTTTGAGGAACTGCCAAATAGTGTTCTAAGGTGCAGCTTTATGTATAGCCCTGCCAGCAGTGTAGGAAGGTTGTTATTTATCTACTCTTGACCAATATTTGTTATTCTCCATCTTTTCCTCCCTAGTCTATTTGGGTACTTGGAATTGAACCTAGCAGTTCTTTAACATAGAGCTCTGCTCAGCATATTTATTTATTTATTTCTAGATTGTGCAGATTGGTCTTGGATTTAAGATCCTTTTGTCTCAGGCAGTAGGTTAGCTAGGATTAGCTACTATATCTGGCTTTCTTTTTTCTTTTGAACTTGAGCCATCATTTAAGGTATGAAATAATATCTTATTTTGGGACTGATTTGCATTTTGAGCATGCTTTCCTGTGTTTATTGGCTGTTTGTATGTTTTCTTTGGAGAAATGACTATCCATATCTTTTATTTTGAGGGTCTATTTTATTTATTTATTTAATGTATTTAGTACAGTGTCTACAGGATCTCACTGTATGGATCAGGCTTATAGTGATCTTCCCTTTTTCAGCCTCCCAAGTACTGGGATTACAGGCTTACACCACCAAGCCCAGTCTCAATTACGCCCAGTCTCAATGGCTGTCTCAGTGGGCCCCAGGGGTGGGGCCAGCACAGCATGTGGTGTGAGGGCCTATTTTTTAAAATTGGGTCATTTGCCTTTTTATTATAAAGTTGTACAT